ATTAGATATCTACCAGTAAGTATAACATCCCAAGGTTAGGTGTCCAGATTCATTAGATATCTATCAGTAAGTATAACATCCCAAGGTTAGGTGTCCAGATTCATTAGATATCTATCAGTAAGTATAACATCCCAAGGTTAGGTGTCCAGATTCATTAGATATCTATCAGTAAGTATAACATCCCAAGGTTAGGTGTCCAGATTCATTAGATATCTATCAGTAAGTATAACATCCCAAGGTTAGGTGTCCAGATTCATTAGATATCTACAGTAAGTATAACATCCCAAGGTTAGGTGTCCAGATTCATTAGATATCTATCAGTAAGTATAACATCCCAAGGTTAGGTGTCCAGATTCATTAGATATCTACTGTAAGTGTAACATCCCAAGGTTAGGTGTCCAGATTCATTAGATATCTACTGTAAGTGTAACATCCCAAGGTTAGGTGTCCAGATTCATTAGATAACTACTGTAAGTGTAACATCCCAAGGTTAGGTGTCCAGATTCATTAGATATCTATCAGTAAGTATAACATCCCAAGGTTAGGTGTCCAGATTCATTAGATATCTACTGTAAGTATAACATCCCAAGGTTAGGTGTCCAGATTCATTAGATATCTATCAGTAAGTATAACATCCCAAGGTTAGGTGTCCAGATTCATCAGATATCTACTGTAAGTATGACATCCCAAGGTTAGGTGTCCAGATTCATCAGATATCTACTTTAAGTGTAACATCCCAAGGTTAGGTGTCCAGATTCATTAGATATCTATCAGTAAGTGTAACATCCCAAGGTTAGGTGTCCAGATTCATTAGATATCTAAGGTTAGGTGTCCAGATTCATTAGTAAGTAAGTAACATCCCAAGGTTAGGTGTCCAGATTCATTAGATATCTATCAGTAAGTATAACATCCCAAGGTTAGGTGTCCAGATTCATTAGATATCTATCAGTAAGTATAACATCCCAAGGTTAGGTGTCCAGATTCAATAGAGATTGGTGGGATAATTCTACTGTACAGCAATAGAGATTGGTGGGATAATTCTACTGTACAGCAATAGAGATTGGTGGGATTGGTAGAGGGTGGATAATTCTACTGTACAGCAATAGAGATTGGTGGGATAATTCTACTGTACAGGATAATTCTACTGTACAGCAATAGAGATTGGTGGGATAATTGAAAATAGATAATGGTGGGATAATTCTACTGTACAGCAATAGATAATGGTGGGATAATTCTACTGAACAGCAATAGAGATTGGTGGGATAATTCTACTGTACAGCGATAGATATTGGTGGGATAATTGTACTGTACAGCAATAGAGATTGGTGTAATAATTCTACTGTACAGCGATAGAGATTGGTGGGATAATTCTACTGTACAGCAATAGATATTGGTGGAATAATTCTACTGTACAGCAATAGAGACAGATTGGTGGAATAGAATATTGGTGGAATAATTCTACTGCAATAGAGATTGGTGGAATAATTCTACTGTACAGCAATAGAGATTGGTGGAATAATTCTACTGTACAGAGATAGAGATTGGTGGGATAATTCTACTGTACAGCAATAGAGATTGGTGGAATAATTCTACTGTACAGCAATAGAGATTGGTGGACAGCAATAATTGGTACTGTACAGCAATAGAGATTGGTGGGAATAGATTGGTGGGATAATTCTACTGTACAGCAATAGATATTGGTGGGATAATTCTACTGTACAGCAATAGAGATTGGTGGGATAATTCTACTGTACAGCAATAGAGATTGGTGGGATAATTCTACTGTACAGCAATAGATATTGGTGGGATAATTCTACTGTACAGCAATAGAGATTGGTGGGATAATTCTACTGTACAGCAATAGAGATTGGTGGGATAATTCTACTGTACAGCAATAGAGATTGGTGGAATAATTCTACTGTACAGCAATAGAGATTGGTGGGATAATTCTACTGTACAGCAATAGAGATTGGTGGGATAATTCTACTGTACAGCAATAAAGATTGGTGTAATAATTCTACTGTACAGCAAATAGAGATTGGTGGGATAATTCTACTGTACAGCAAATAGATATTGGTGGAATTCTACTGAACAGCAATAGAGATTGGTGGAATTCTACTGAACAGCAATAGGGATTGGTGGAATAATTCTACTGTACAGCAAATAGATATTGGTGGGATAATTCTACTGTACAGCAATAGAGATTGGTGGGATAATTCTACTGTACAGCAATAGAGATTGGTGGGATAATTCTACTGTACAGCAATAGAGATTGGTGGGATAATTCTACTGTACAGCAATACAGTCTGGTGGGATAATTCTACTGTACAGCAATAAAGATTGGTGGGATAATCCTACTGTACAGCAATAAAGATTGGTGGAATAATTCTACTGTACAGAGATAGAGATTGGTGGGATAATTCTACTGTACAGCAATAGAGATTGGTGGAATAATTCTACTGTACAGCAATAGAGATTGGTGGGATAATTCTACTGTACAGCAATAGAGATTGGTGGGATAATTCTACTGTACAGCAATAGAGATTGGTGGAATAATTCTACTGTACAGAGATAGAGATTGGTGGAATAATTCTACTGTACAGAGATAGAGATTGGTGGAATAATTCTACTGTACAGCAAATAGATATTGGTGAGATAATTCTACTGTACAGCAATAGATAATGGTGGGATAATTCTACTGTACAGCAATAGAGATTGGTGGGATAATTCTACTGTACAGCAATAGAGATTGGTGGAATAATTCAGCGATAGATATTGGTGGGATAATTCTACTGTACAGCAATAGAGATTGGTGGAATAATTCTACTGTACAGCAATAGAGATTGGTGGAATAATTCTACTGTACAGAAATAGAGATTGGTGGAATAATTCTACTGTACAGAGATAGAGATTGGTGGAATAATTCTACTGTACAGAGATAGAGATTGGTGGGATAATTCTACTGTACAGAAATAGAGATTGGTGGAATAATTCTACTGTACAGAGATAGAGATTGGTGGAATAATTCTACTGTACAGAGATAGAGATTGGTGGAATAATTCTACTGTACAGAGATAGAGATTGGTGGGATAATTCTACTGTACAGCAATAGAGATTGGTGTAACAATTCTACTGTACAGCAAATAGATATTGGTGGAATTCTACTGAACAGCAATAAAGATTGGTGGAATAATTCTTCTGTACAGCAAATAGATATTGGTGTAATAATTCTACTGTACTGCGATAGATATTGGTGGGATAATTGTACTGTACAGCAATAGATAATGGTGGGATTATTCTACTGTACAGCGATAGATATTGGTGGGATAATTCTACTGTACAGCAATAAATATTGGTGGAATAATTCTACTGTACAGCAATAGAGATTGGTGGAATAATTCTACTGTACAGCAATAGATATTGGTGGGATAATTCTACTGTACAGCAATAGATATTGGTGGAATAATTCTACTGTACAGCAATAGATATTGGTGGGATAATTCTACTGTACAGCAATAGAGATTGGTGGGATAATTCTACTGTACAGCAATAGAGATTGGTGGGATAATTCTACTGTACAGCAATAGAGATTGGTGGGATAATTCTACTGTACAGCAATAAAGTCTGGTGGAATAATTCTACTGTACAGCAAATAGAGATTGGTGGGATAATTCTACTGTACAGCAATAGAGATTGGTGGAATAATTCTACTGTACAGCAAATAGATATTGGTGGGATAATTCTACTGTACAGCAATAGAGATTGGTGGGATAATTCTACTGTACAGCAATAGAGATTGGTGGAATAATTCTACTGTACAGCAATAGATTGGTGGGATAATTCTATTGGTTGGTGAATAATTCTACTGTACAGCAATAGATTGGATTGGTGGGATAATTCTACTGTAGATATTGGTGGGAATAATTCTACTGTACAGCAATAGAGATTGGTGGGATAATTCTACTGTACAGCAATAGAGATTGGTGGGATAATTCTACTGTACAGCAATAGAGATTGGTGGGATAATTCTACTGTACAGCAATAGAGATTGAGCAATAGATTATATTGGTGGGATTATTTTATGTACAGTGGGATAATTGGCTACTGACTAAAACTGTACAGCGATAGATATTGGTGGGATAATTCTACTGTACAGCAATAAATATTGGTGGAATAATTCTACTGTACAGCAAATAGATAATGGTGGGATAATTCTACTGTACAGCAATAGATAATGGTGGGATAATTCTACTGAACAGCAATAGAGATTGGTGGGATAATTCTACTGTACAGCAAATAGAGATTGGTGGGATAATTCTACTGTACAGCAATAGAGATTGGTGGGATAATTCTACTGTACAGCAATACAGTCTGGTGGGATAATTCTACTGTACAGCAATAGAGATTGGTGGGATAATTCTACTGTACAGCAATAGAGATTGGTGGGATAATTCTACTGACAGCAATAATTGTGAGCAATAGAGATCTGGTGGAATAATTCTAATGACTAGTAGGTATTTGTAGGTAATACTGACAGACCACAGATGGATGACTGGTGACAGACAAATGATGCCAAAGCAGACCAGGTAAGCTAAAATTTAGGACGGATGGATAGATTGATGACATACTAAATAAGTACTATCATAATTTGGTGAATTTTCAGAATATACAAAAATCATTGCAGAAGGATCTTGGTGCTATCATTGTTTGGTCTTTATTTGTTAATCAAAAGTTGGATCTTTTTTCTTATTTTTTCTTCTTTCCACTGTTTTTGCTCTTCATGGCAAGGAATGTGAAAAACTCCTCTCAAGAAATAGCAAAAATAATTTTTAACTGTTGCCTGTCAGTCTTTGTGTTTTTCTGATCAGTCCCAATATCATATAGGCACAACAAGGGAGAAAGAGTAACCCTACATATGAAATTGGAGAAAAATCTTCCCTGCTTTTCTCAAGAAATAGCGATAACAAACTATCAATGTAAAAGTTCAAGATGGCTGCCTGTCAGCCATTTTGTTTTTCTGATAAGTACCTAAATCAAAAAGGCACAACATGATTTATAAGACTAACTTATAATACCTGGCAAGTCGCTGCTTTTGATTCTCAACATCCTTGTGAATGATTTGTCTATCTTCCTCCTTGTCTTGCTCAAAGCCTAGTGTTTCCAACTCCTTAGGAATGAGAAAATGACCATAAAAACTTCATGTTTATATAGAAATAAATAGAAAGTCCTGTTACAAATACATTTACATCATATTTTAATTACAATAACATATATTATATATCAATTTATTACATTTTACTTTTTTTGTTATACAATGTAACATCTTGTATGTATATTGTATTTATCATGTTTCATTACTTAAACACTATGATGTTTTATTCTGCGTCTGAACAAAAGAAATACAAAGAATAGATATTTATTAAAGAAATATGCAAATTGTGTTTTGGAATCATATTTGTCAAGTTGATCACTGTTTCACTTTTGCAATAAGCCATAATTAAAACTACAACATTTCCATCCATGGTTAGCATTTCATTGAATATTTATAAATTGTGAACACAGAGAGATAATTACAGGAAATGTGGGAAGTCAAGGGATCAACAGGCTTTGTTTAGAAATGAAAATCACAATACTAGTACATAATAAATAAAGGGTGATCCAACATTCCTTGTGTGGAACTTAGTGTCCTTGGGTGGATCTAGTACATTTATTATTGGTTAATTCACATATTTTCACTAGATATTTAACACTAATACATTTGTAACACTGTGACTTGAAAAAACGAAATTGATTGAAATGTTTATGTACATTAAAGCATCACATCATCCTTATGTTATCTCATTTTATTTGAAAACTAAAAAAAGACAAAATGAACACCTCAATCTTTTTTCGAAGTTTGTTAACTTTTCCTCTGGCCTCAACATTTATGTCTTCAAGCACCTCTTTCGTATCAGCACATTCCCTGATGTCCTGTAACAGATAAACTACACACCTTGAGTTTTCACTAGCTCAAATCATTATACAACACATAATTACAAAGTTCTACTATTGTAAGGTAATTGGTATACTAAACATTGCGTGTGAAATTAATAATGGAATAGTGAACTGATCAGAAAATTAGGAAAAGAAGCCAATCTAGAATTGATCACAAGCATCAATATTTCTGCAGTGATAAATCTACACACAAGTCCTGCGTCCTGTATTCGTAGAAGTTGTAGGGGACTCATAGAATTTCTGGAAAGACTTGAATTTCATATTGTGGGACCCATTGATTTTAGCAATAAAGGTGAAAAGGTGAAAATAAATGGTAGGTTTATCTCTATTTCTGGTGTGATTTTTTAAAATTTTCATATACAGAACCATACCTAGATGCTATTTAAAGGATTATATGATGGTAAGCAAATGATTTTTCAGGGTCAGGGTTCCTCCTAAATAATGTTCCTGTATAGAATCCTGGTGATGGGTGTCAGATACAAAAAAAAGAACAGCATTACAATAATTATCACAATATATGACAAGGCCTATGTCAATGCACTATCATTTTTAAACAGTACAGTATCCCTTGGCCATTTATGTGTAGCAAGATTTGGCTCAGTGATAACCAGTGACATAAACTACAGCTGATTTGGTTAGAGAATCCAGAATTTGCAGGTCATGAGGTTAAATTCCCAGTCTGGTACTTCTGCTTTCCGTCTCAGCCTTTGACTGACCATTCATTGTTGATGAGGAAGTTTAAAGAACATGTCGTCTTACATGACTTGGCTAGTAGAAATATCCTTTCAGTCAAGCAATAAAGTGTTCATCTAGAGAGCAAAGGTCGCTAGTTCAAACCCAATCAGTGGCAAGGTAATTTTCGTAACTCCTTCCTAACAGAAATTTGGTGCTGTATACCACACCAAGGTTAGAAGTTATAGGATAATGAGACGCTATCTTGGAGAGATCAAATCATTCAAGACAGTTGCAAAATGCAAAAACCTGTCTCAACTCTCGAAGGGAGTTGAATGTCTGATAAATTGTCAAAGGGAAAAACTCAATTATTTACTTGAGTATGTAGGCCAACACATTTTTTCAAAACCAAAAAGGCTGGGGAAAACATTAAAATGGAACAAAAGTATATTCTCCTTCAAAACAGTATATGATATGACTGAACATGATCTGCTATCAGAGAAAAGAAGGAAATCACTGGCATATGTATTTAAAATGTACCCGAATAACAAAATTTGTCCGTTATATATTTTTACTTGGGTACATCCAGATACATTGTACATGCGCCTGAGAGAAAATCAGCAGGGCACCTATTCTTAGTTATCTCTAACATAACTTTGATTTGTCCATCAGACATCTCACATTAGTAATTCACTTTACTGGAGTAGTACTAGTGTGAAAGTCTGATATGACAAAAACACTTTTGCAAAACTATTATTACCGAGGTAGATGGAAATCTATTCACTAGCGACATATTACCTGAATCAGTGCCTTAACTTCAAGGTCTAACCTAACGATTTCCTGTAAACACAATCGCACGTGGATGTCTTCTGCAGCCATGTCACTTTTGCAACATCAAAATGAAAATGAAACCGGAAGTGAAGTTCCGGAACTCGAATTCATCACCTATTAGCATATTAGATATCAATATTGTCTTTCCGGTGAAGAACGATTCCGATGGATTCCGCCTTGAATTCCGTAATTATTTAAATTAACGCTATATGTATACTGCTATTATCATTGCGTGGCATGTCAAAATCATCTTACTGATACAGGGCATTCGAGCAGAGACGTATAACCCATGTTTTTTTGTTTATCTACTCTATGTTTGCCTTCCTTCACAAAGTCTTTGACCACAAAAATGACTATAAAACCCATGGCTGCAGTAACTAAGTATGCAGACACAGGTTACAAGCTAAGAGGACTTTAAACTCAGCCTAGAAAAGACTCACTTCTCTCTATAAGCATATACCTGGTATAAAGTATAGTTGTTCACTGAATGGCAAAGTTTCCTCTTAGCAGTGGTTTTGTATCTATTTAGTAGATAACTTAGCTTATTGTGATTCATTGCTGTGATGTCTTTCTTTCATGATGATCATTATTATAATTTATTTTTATGACACCATAGGCACACCAACAAGGCAGGAAGGCTGACATGATGCTAAAGTCAGGGAAACCAGAGGAAGCAATCTTCTGTCACAGGAGAGCTGCAGGTAATTATAACATAAGAAGTATTAATAAATGGTTTAGATTAGGCATGCAGCTTGAACAAGTATGATTGATGAAAAGGAAGAAACTAGTGTATGTTAGAAAAATCATTCATTACTAGTTTTTATTCTAAATAAATGATTTTGCAAATGCACTCTTTACAAAGAAGAATGACAAAATACAATAGCACCTCAGTTGAAATTGATAATTACAAATATATAACAATTAATCAGTGTTTTAATATAGATTAGTAAAAGTGTTTGCTTTTGTTTTAAATCTCTTCAGAAATATTGAAATAGCAGAAGTAGATTGATAATATGGAGTTAGGTTATATGAGCTGTCTACAACTTTGAAGTCACAGTGCACTGCCATCCATATTTCTTCTCTAATTACACTCACGTACAAAATTTTGTAGATTTTTTTTTATCATTATTGTTATGATACAGACCCATTTATAAATCAATTTAGACACAAGAGTATCAACCTAGAGACAATAATACAGAAACTGAAATGCAGAAATTAATTCCATTAAACATCACAAATTTTGGTATACAGCAATTTTTTTCTGAGGCATTGACAACACATACTTAAAGGATGAGGAATTTCAATTGTCAAAATCTAAAACTGAACGTTCATTAATTACTGTTAACATGAAATGAGTACTGGGTATGTAGGTTGTTACACAAAGTCTTACAAAGTATATATCATCTTATCTTTTGTTTATACACCAGTCTGGAAATGTGTACATGTGATCATGGCTGTTTTGTAATAATTTTATAGAGTATCTTCTACAAGCAATGCAGTTATCCACTTGTATGAAAGCCAAAGATTCTATATCTCTCCAACATCAATTCCATCTCCGGCAGCAGGATCTTCTTCAGGAACGCCTTGGCAAGTTACAATCACTACAGGTATGTATCTGGAGTCTTCTCTCCAAGAAAACAAGGCTTGAAACATAGTAGTTATTAATACAGCCTTATAAATCCAATCTGCTTCTTGTCAAATTAAACTTTTTTGACCACAAAATGTAATTGTTTAAGATGAAAAATTAATCATATCATACAGTAAGTAAAGTCATAGCTCTTCAATAATTTTGAAATGGTACATTAAACAAAGTTGCCTCCCTTCCCATATGTGTCACTAATGGTATACCTTATGGTCCTTAAACCTGAAAGAGTAATCCAGTGAGAAATAGCCTTGTTCATTGCACCTCAGTGCCTTTTGGCCCCCTCCCACAAGGGTCTCACATTTTGCCATAGGGAGTGGGGGTGGGGGGTTGGGGGTTGGTGGGGCGTTAAGTTTACTATAGTTCATATAGGCAATGTAGATTTTTGAGCAGAATATGTTTAATTTCCATCGTAAATATTTCCAACTTGGTTAGAATTATGAGTGAAGAATGATAGCTTAATGGTATGCCCATATTGATTCTGGCTGACCCCAACAGGGTTGATGGGCAGGCTCAGAAAGGGTCAAATTCTCTTAAATTTCAAATTTCTTCTTCTCAACACCCAGGAGTGGTAGAATTAAATGCTTGGTATGAATGGAAGCTTGGAAGGTGCTTTAATTACCAAAATGGGTCTCACATTTCTTCCTGGGAAGGATGTTTTTATGCCCCCGCCATTTATGGCCTGGGGCATATAGCGTTGCCCATGTCCGTCCGTCCCGTCCCGTTGCTCCCGTCCCGTCCCGTCCCGTCCCAAATCAGTATATACCACCTAACAACTTCATTCGGACCTTTCACTATTATTTCACATGGGGGGGGGGGGGGGGGGGGGGGGGTCTTACAGATATTTTCTAGTTTTTTTTAATTTTACTGTAGTTTTCGTAGAAAAATTGCATTTTGAGCATAATGTTGGTTATTTCCCAATTAGGTATTATTAGTATAGGATGACAGTTTTGATGATTTACTTGTAATGACACTGGCTTACGATATTCATTGATACTATTTCTTTTTCATCACACTTGAAAGCTACCTTTTAACCTTTATATTCAATATTGCTTACCTCAGGTGACTGTCAAGGTTTCTGTTACCATTGAAACATAGCCAAAAAACACAAAATTAATGGTAACTTTTCTCTGTCTACAACTTCAAAAACCATTCCACTCAACTCCACAAAACTTTCTGTATATATTTGGATAGTGCCCTAGTTGTGCCTTTTTTTATTGCAGATATTTATTATTTATCTTTTTTTCTGTTACATCAGATTTTTTTTATTTCTTGTGACTTCTTGTATTACTCCAGAGTTTATAGGGTGTTTAATAAATTTGTTAATTGACAATATCAAGCTCTATTCAAATATCCCAGAGGCTTTTTCAATGACAGGTCAGAGGTCAAATCTTAGAATATTATTTGCACCTGAAGAGTCTTATACACTTCTCTATATTGATGAGATGTTGATATTTTGCATTCCAACTTTGTAACTGACAAAATCAATGCTGTGATATAAAATTAGAAGATAATTTTTTTCTTTCCAATCGTGACATGCAAGTTTTCTTTCAGAGTGGGAAAAGGGAAATAATGACTCACAAACGTATTACTAGTTGAATCTTGGTCTGTATAATCTAGTATTTATGGATTTGATGTCAGTTTCACAAAATTTTACTTGTAACAGGCAAAGAAATCTAACAGGAAAGATTTAACACAAAGTCAAGGAACACAGACAGACCTTTTAAACCTTGATGGTTCACTGAACAGTGTTGATGCTGCATCACAAGCCCTGTCTGACACAGACTCTGTACTGGAATACCTCATCAACCGAGAGAAACAGGAACGAGGGCCTTTATCACCTCAACAGCTTCCAGAAAAGCACAAAATAGTACAGAAAGTTCCACGAGATGATAAATCAATTATTGAAGAATTGACTATTCAAAATGCTGAGCTACGGAAACATGTACATATACTTATAAAGGACTTGGATGAATGTAAGGGAGATAATGAGTTCCTACTTCAAAGAGTACTGACTGCTGACAGGCCTGATCGAGGCTCTGATAATAAAGACTTATTTGGTCGGGTAATTGAAGATGAGAAATCACCAAACTTTGAGTTACCTCCTCTAGAACAGCCTCATTTCGACTTTGACTCAATTGGCATTCCAGTAGAAGCCTTAGACAATAGTGTTGAGGAAAAAAGTATTTTTTTCAGTGATTAATATCCGGAAAATAATTGTAATTATTGATGGAAGTTACCATTTTTATGACAATTTGTTTTGTATATTATGTTGGGCTGTCACCTATGATATTACATTTCATCTTCAAGTGCTAACCTTTTGGTATCAGGGAGTTTTGCACAACATGCTTACCAGGGATATAAACAGAAATATCCATAGTGGAATTAGGTAGAGTACTATTATCATTATTTGAAGCTTTGTTGATTGTTGTTAAATCTATCATCCAAATGCTCCCCTTTTTCTAAGGCAAATTGGTGATTCTATGGTGTAGCAGGCTGGCAGTCAGCAATATTTTGTCAGGAGCCTAGCTACCCTTGTCAATAAGTTAATTGCAAATGGACTAGGTCCAGAGTCCTTCTACCTACATGTACATAAGTTACAGCTTTTTGTTCATATTTGATTCCTAAGCAGAGTGAACCTACCTTTATGAGATCTCATACCTAACAATACATAATCATAACACATTATTTAAGTAATTTACATTTACTTGCTCTCGTATTGGTGGGGCTGCAATTTGTGTTTCTCAGGAGATATTAAACAGTCCTATACTGTTGTGATGATAAAGCATCTTTTCATGCAACATTTTTACTGGCCTTCACATGATGTTCAGTGAGAAAGACACCAGTTACTACAAAGAAGCCCAGCCTGAAAATGACCTATCTGGGGGTGGTTAATGGGGTGATAATCTCAGCCATCAATTACTACCAGGACGTCTAGCCTGAAAATGACCTATCTAGGGGTGGTTAATGGGGTGATAATCTCAGCCATCAATTACTACCAGGACGTCTAGCCTGAAAATGACCTATCTGGGGGTGGTTAATGGGACGATAATCTCAGCCATCAATTACTACCAGGACGTCTAGCCTGAAAATGACCTATCTGGGGGTGGTTAATGGGACGATAATCTCAGCCATCAATTACTACCAGGACGTCTAGCCTGAAAATGACCTATCTGGGGGTGGTTAATGGGGCGATAATCCCAGCCATCAATTACTACCAGGACGTCTAGCCTGAAAATTGAACCATCTAGGGGAATGGGGCGATAATCCTAGCACATATCTACCTTGTATATCTCTATATTCAGTTCTGCTATTGCTCAATTTATGTATTTATCTGTGAAACAAGTTATAAACTGTGCTAATCTTGGAAGTAAAGTTCATGTATTTTCCCCACTTTCACCAAAACTAAATATTTATCTTTAAGTCAATATTTCCTTTCTTTTCACATGGCATGAAATACAAAGACTTTGTCAGGAACATCTATTGTATACAATATTACTAGAAGAGTGTGTACATATAATTTGAATGTTGTTATATATTATAAGGTGTCTTGGGAACTACAGTATGAATCCTGTGCTGGTAATTTGGAATTAACATGTTGGGAACTGCCTCAAAAGATTGTTTTTATTTTTGTGATACTTCCTTTCGTATTTCTGGAATTAGAGTTCCCAATAAAAAACACAATTTAGGAATTCATTATTTTGATATTCACATTACATTTTTTTGTCAGTATCAACAAAATTTTTTTGGTTGAGTTTTAAAATGATTTTTATTGTTTTTGAACATTTGAACTTTTTAAGAATGAAGTTATAAAAATGAAACCTGCTTAAATAACACTTTTTTATAGCAACCAAATTTTTTTAATTCCAAAATTTTCAACATTCTGAGTTTTTAACCTTTTTAACATAAACAAATAAATATTTGGGACTATACACACTTTCATTTGTCATTGTTATGAGGAGGGACCAATATTTTTACAAGTCTTATATTTTATTATATCATAAATGCTCAATAGAATTGTAATGCCACGAGTACAGGTGTACTAATCGTGATGTTGTGATTTATATGTTTACAAATTATTGATGATAACAAGTTAATGATGGAGCAGATAAATAATTATATGAAGAATATTAAATCTTTTATTTCAGTCTATGGCAATGAAATGGTGTGCAGGGTTTTTAATTTATTTTCTAATAAATTCTTATTTTGAAAACTCGCTTCAAGTGTTTTATTTGAAATTGTTGAAAGGAGTACCGAAAACAATGACCTGCTTCTACTGGGATTTGAATAAGGGATCTCTAACTTCCAATGCTACAATCCTTGTGGTTTCAAATAGTCTTTGCCACCAAAGACAACCGCAACACAGACCCTTAAGCTACAACTCCATTGAAGCCTCCTCATACAACACAGGCCCTTAAGCTACAACTCCATTGAAGCCTCCTTATACAACACAGACCCTTAAGCTACAACTCCATTGAAGACTCCTCATACAACACAGACCCTTAAGCTACAACTCCATTGAAGCCTCCTCATACAACACAGATCCTTAAGCTACAACTCCATTGAAGCCTCTCAAACAACACAGACCCTTAAGCTAAAACTCTATTGAAGTTCTTCCTCTCAAACAACACAGACCCTTAAGCTACAACTCCATTGAAGACTCCTTATACAACACAGACCCTTAAGCTACAACTCCATTGAAGCCTCCTCATACAACACAGACCCTTAAGCTACAATTCCATTGAAGCCTCTCAAACAACACAGACCCTTAAGCTACAACTCCATTGAAGCCTCCTCATACAACACAGACCCTTAAGCCACAATTCCATTGAAGCCTCTCAAACAACACAGACCCTTAAGCTACAACTCCATTGAAGCCTCCTTATACAACACAGACTCTTAAGCTACAACTCCATTTAAGCCTCCTTATACAATACACACCCTTAAGCTACAACTCCATTGAAGCCTCCTCATACAACACAGACCCTTAAGCCACAATTCTATTGAAGCCTCCTTATACAACACAGACCCTTAAGCTACAACTCCATTGAAGCCTCCCTATACAACACAGACCCTTAAGCCACAATTCCATTGAAGCCTCCTTATACAACACAGACCCTTAAGCTACAACTCCTTTGAAGCCTCCTCATACAACACAGACCCTTAAGCTACAACTCCATTGAAGCCTCCTCATACAACACAGACCCTTAAGCTACAACTCCATTGAAGCCTCCTCATACAACACACACCCTTAAGCCACAATTCCATTGAAGCCTCTCAAACAACACAGACCCTTAAGCTACAACTCCATTTAAGCCTCCTTATACAACACAGACCCTTAAGCTACAACTCTATTGAAGCTTCCTTATACAACACAGATCCTTAAGCTACAACTCCATTGAAGCCTCTCAAACAACACAGATTCTTCATAAACCTCCTCTCACATGCACATATGTAGATCACATTTGTGCATTGTTATATTAATTGATTAGATCAGTATTGCAAAATGGACAGTAAACAGCCATCTTGAACGTGGAAAATGAAAGATTGTTTTCAATATTTCTAAATCTATTGCACTTTAAAGAATTGTTTAAGACAAGCAAACCACAAATGAAAGGTGATTATAACAGTCCAACATGTAGTGATAGTTTGCTAATATTGTTGTCTCACCTGCCCAAAGAGCAAATGACCTTATGCCATAGTGCTATGTCTGTCTAGCATCAACAAAAACTTCCCTTCAGCTGAGTTCTTAATAACCAAAAGGGCATTGATGTTGAGCCTGAAACATGTTGGGATGAAGGTCTAACAAGTTTGTTCAAGTGAATGGCCTTGGCCAAGGATGATAAGACCAGGTGTTCAGGAAGGGTGTTCAGGTGGTTTGATTCCTGGATCAGACATCAAAAGGTACGGGGTCACCTGCCAAACCATGTGGGTTTTCCTTGATTACTCCGGTTTCCTTCCACAGTAAGATCCCTCCCAAGCTTACATCTTGGCAAACAAGAGTGATTAATAGAAGTTGAAATAACTTATTTTGTAATTTTTGTAAAATAAACGAAATTTATATTCTTGTTATATGGTAAGAGTCTTTGTTTTCATTGACCTACATCTCTTGAAGCCCTGTGTTGTGAGTTTGACTGTCAGTTGCTGACACTTTGCATGAAAAATGTTGTGATATTGGCAACAAGTCATTGAATATTGAATCAACTGTGACATGTAAACATCACAGGTTGAGGATGCAGTAATAATGTTATCCTGAAATGGAAAATTCACACTTGAGAAATTAAAGCCATCATCCTAATTGTAGACCTTGTTGGAAAACTTCCTTCTGAGAATGAGGTAAGTCCCAATGTTAAAGAGTCTGCTGTGTCCTTGATTTCCAATTCAGGTGGGTATATATATGATGGAAATGGTCAATAAATTTCTTGTCATTTAAAGACAAGATGTCATCAATATAAATGTGAAATTGAAGGAGTTCACAAGGTCTTTGTCATGTTTTGATAAGCTCTTCCCTAAATTCAGCCTTGTATAAAAACATAAACAAGTAATCCAATAAAGGGGCATAGTTTGTTCCAATAGGTATACCAACAACCTTTTGGACAATTTTTCTACATCATACAAATTCTTCCCAATTTAACCCTGGATGAGGGCATCTTGTCGCTACTGTAAACGGTAATTGGCAGTGACACGAGGAACACTTACTGGCCTGTATTTTTCTTTCATTTTGTCATTGGTGTGTTTTCGATGTAAAGAACGACAACTATGGTTGAGGTTGATATTAGGTATGTATAAACTATTTCAATAGAAATAGACTTCCAATTTTTCAAAATTGAGATATTACCCGATTGATCTGAAATTTGTATAACAGTCTTCATATAGGGAATGGCAAATACATTTTTTCCATTAATCTACTGTTGGAATTTCAATCTTTTGAGGGAGAAATGAAAACGGTTATCAGTCATCCCTCCTGATGACAATTCTAGTTCATGACTGTAGGCCACCTTCATACCAATCCAATCTGTCTATAAAGACCAATCCTTTGGTTCCCTATGTAATGCAATTCATAGTAATTGAACATCTATATAAAGGCCATCTGTGTACAAAGGCCACATTTCCCCATTCCAAGTGAGTCACCTTTATCGACAGGTTTGACTCTTGTTGCCAATAACAGTACTGCTATTTCAGTACTTTAGTCTTTGAAGTCAGAAAACGGAATGGCTCCAGGTTCATAATTGAAACTGCATACTCATGTTCCAACTAACAGTTAGGCAAAAAATTGACAAATTTTTTGCTTGCAATTTTCTTATTAATACTCCGAATACAAACATGAGGCACATAGGTCCTGTATCTCTCACCTGGCAAGATTGATTACTCTTCACCCAAACCAAATTTGGTGATAATCTAATCATTCCTACAGGAGTAGGATTTTAAAGAATTTGCTCATTTACGTCTATTGGGCCCAGCCCCCCTGCCCCTGGAGGCTAAGACCTATCATTCATACATAATGCTTCAGATCAAATCTGGGCAATAATTTTTATATGAGGATAGAATTTTCATGGATTTGCTCTGTTTCCCCTTTCAGGCCCTCCATCTCCAATCCCAATGAGCTGAGACCCACTGTTATACAACACTGATTCCCCTTTACATAACAAGAGGGTCATGGCCCATAACAGTCATCTGTCAATTGAGGAATGGATGGACAAACCACAGAATTTGCTGATGGTGGTCTGACAAATCTGATGAATTCAAATTTTGAACATTCCTTGAAAGTATCAGAAACTGACAAATGGTAGGTTCCTTGCAAGAAAAACAGTTGCACAATCATGTTACAAAATAACTACTGTGGTTACCATGTTGAAATTTTGATCGGACTAAAAAGTAACAACAAATCAGCTCTCCTTTTCTTCAAAAACATTGAACTCCAATATTTTTCTTCTTGGTGTGAATAAAACATGAGAAGACGTCCAGACTATTTATTTTTTCTATGAGTTGTGTTGGATTTTGGACCAAAGCATAAAAACAAGATTTGGTCAGGACAATCTCAGGATCATTTTCTTCATATTTGATATCATTGTCACTCCCTGATAATGTTCCAAGCCAATTTGGTTGAAATCTATGAAGGCATAATGAAGGAAGAGCGCTCTGAAGCAAAAAAATTGTCCAACTTCCCCTTTGGAGCCCCACCCCTACGTTCCTAGGGGTTGAATCTACTTGCTGAATTTAAGATATGATTCTCCACCCACAATGATCTTTTTTATCACATTTGGTTTAAATCCATTAAAGCCTTCAGGAAGAGAAGGGTTTTGAAGCAAAATTATTGGTTGATTTTCCCATTTGGTCCCTAGGGGTCGAATCAACTTTCTGAATTGAAGAAATGATTCTCCACCCACAATGATCTTTTTTATCACATTTGGTTTAAATCCATTAAAGTTTTCAGGAAGAGTAGCATTTTGAAGCAAAATTATTAACTAATTTTTCCATTTGGTCCCTAGGGGACAAATCAGTTTTCTGAATTTAAGAAATGATTCCCCACTCTCAATGATGTTTCAGACCAAATTTTGTTGATATCCATTCAAGCAATAATAAAGATTAGATTAATAAATATTAGCATTTCGAAGCAAAATATTGTCTAATTCCCCCTTTTGGGGCCTTGCCCTCAAGTCCCTACAGGTCAAATCAAATTTCTGAATTATTTGCAAACCCCTTCTGATGTTACAGACAAAATTTGAATGAAATCCATTCAAGCATTAAGGAAGAGTAGCATTTTGAAGCAAATTATTGTCTTACTACCCTTTTTGAGCCCCATTCCACTGTCACTAGGGGTCAAAATTAAAATTTCTTAATTTCAAGAAAATGATCCTCTACCCTCAATGATGTTTTAGACCAAATTCAGTTGAAGTCCACCTAAGCAGGAGTATTGTTTTACAGCGAACGGGGCACAACAACGGACGATGCAAAATAGTAATAGATCATCTTGATCCTATGGGTCAGATGACTTTGTAAATGCTTCAGATCAAATCTGGGCAAATTCCAATAACTTCTACAGGAGTAGGATTTTAAAGAATTTTCTCTTCTTCCCTTATTATACCCCACCCCTCTTGGGGCCAAGACCAAAGGTTTATATAAAAATTGTTCCTCTTCCCTCAAGGATGCTTCTGACAAAATTTGGTTATTATCAGCTTTGTTGTTCTTGACTAGCAGCAATTTGTAGAAAAAGTTGACAGATGGACAAACAGACAACGGATGCTGCAGTATGCCAATAGCTCTATTTCCCCTAGGAGGTAAAAACACATTATTTATACAAAATTGATCCCCTTTCACCTAAGAATGCTTCAGACCAAATATGGGCAAAATCCAATCATTCTGACAGGAGTGGGATTTTAAAATTTGCTCTTTTGGGCCCCACCCCTGAGGCCTCAGTGGGAAAAACCAACCATTTAAACAAAATTTGTTCAACTTACCTAAGGGATGCATCTGACCAAATTTGGTCAAAACCACATTTGTTGTTTACGATTTGTCACATTTTTTAGGAGAAAGGTTTGCAGGCAGACAGAAGGATTGACAGACACTGGACGACATGGTAAGCCATGAGCTCATTTGGCCCAACCACTTGTATTAAAAATATTCCAAACTTTTTCAGATTTTCATTTGCCCCAAGTCAGACAGCCTGTTAAAATTTTTTTATCATTTTGATATATGCATATATATATACACACACACTGTATATCAATGTGGTCTATGTACTTCGTGGATGAAGCTAAATTCGCTTTCAAAAAGAAAATCTATCTCTCAGTTAAATATGCAACTGATGGTTTTTTCGAAAGCTTTTTTCAGATCAAAGATAAGTTCATCAAGTGTAATAAAACAGCAAAAATTGGATTTCCTTAAATAACTTTTTTTTTCCTGAAACATGGTGTAATTTATTGTATGATTAATAGAACCCATATCAATAAAGCTTGGGAAATAATTACCAGCCCTTCTGTCAAGAAGTCATAAAGAACACCATTGTTTATCATGTAAGTGAAGTGTTGATATGTGTCCATGCCTTTAGAGGAATTCAAGACATTTATTGAACTAACATTGCCATATACCAGTAACCTTGATTATCTTCAACATGAATTCATAAAAGGTTATATGCTTTACAAGATCTCAGGAAAATACTCCTTTAATAGAAATCCTTTCCGTAACAGTGAATGTTGAATTTGCATAAGGACGTCTATTCACACTCTATATCTGCTCAGAAGACAACAGGTGGGTTTTACAATACATAACTACCAACAATGAACTATTGCAACACATTTATTAACGGAAAAAGCATGTGTATGTTAGTAAAACCATATTAAATATATTTCATGGCATGTTCTACATGTAAAATTCAGATATAACATGGATTTATAAAATGATATCCAAACAAAGTAAACATTTATAAATAAATGAGTGAAAAATAATGAATGAAATATTAAACAAAAACACAAGCATAATCAACAAGCAGTTACATCAAGCTGTGTGATATTACACTGTTTATACACAATACAATGTATCAACTTAAGTATGGCCACCAAGCTGTGTGATAATACACTGTTTATACACAATACAATGTATCAACTTAAGTATGGCCACCAAGCTGTGTGATAATACACTGTTTATACACAATACAATGTATCAACTTAAGTATGGCCACCAAGCTGTGTGATAATACACTGTTTATACACAATACAATGTATCAACTTAAGTATGGCCACCAAGCTGTGTGATAATACACTGTTTATACACAGTACAATGTATCAACTTAAGTATGGCCACCAAGCTGTGTGATAATACACTGTTTATACACAATACAATGTATCAACTTAAGTATGGCCACCAAGCTGTGTGATAATACACTGTTTATACACAATACAATTATGGAATTCTTCATCAGTTTTCAAGGTCAATGATGACTTTGCCATGCATTCATCCCCTTCCAAATATGCAAGTTAAACACAAAATTCCATTGATAATAGCACTTAAGTACAAACTATGACAACTAAATTTTTTTTTTTTACAAAAAGTATGCATTTTTAATTTTTTGGACTCATATCTATAGATATTCAGAATTTGTTTATTAAAATCAAATGTCAATTTTGGGAACATGAAATTTGAGATCAGGCATAAATGATTATTGCTCAGGTTGAATGTTAACAGTTTTCATTACATCACTTAAAATACTAAAAATATGATAATTTAAGATAATCTTTCTCTTTCAATAGGACTGAAAAAAAACAAGCCATTAAATTGTGAAATCCCTTACACAAATGTCAGATCTAAGAAGTAAATGATATACTGAAACATTTGATACTTTTTAATATTATTAATGATTTTCACATCCTGAACAGGTACAATACATAACATTATTTCAAATGTCTGGTCCGTTTCCTCATTTTGGTTTCATTACAGAATGGAAGAGTCATTGTAAATTTGATTAAATTGTTTGTCTGTTGGGTATCATCACCCCATAAAACAACCAAAGTCATCTCCTTGAAGTAGCTGCTACCTCACTGAGTAACTTATTGGAGGCTTGCTGTATGCCCTCCTGAGCAATTGCAGTAAAGTGTCTTGTCCATGGACACAAGCAAGACTGCACAAACCAGTCGGCTTCTCAGCTTCCTGAGAAACAAACCTGCTACATGTACTGAAGGAAGTGTCAAACCATGCATCTTTGATATACACCTGATGTTGCTTTGAGCAATGCTCTACCAACTGAACTATCGTAGCCTCCTTCAAATTGAAATAACTGAATTTGACTTACAATGACAAAATCTCAAAGCCTTAACATACAAGTGGATATGACTGGAATCTAAAAAATATTCCATTACAAAAAACAACCTGTGAATTTTGAAGTTTTGATTAAACTTATAATTAACTAATACAGTGAAAAAATGTCTTTGCAAAACAAAACAAAAAAAACCCACTGTTTTATATGGTCCCTCCTTCATGTACAAGTATAAAAGTATATACAGAATAAACCACTAAAGGATTATGATGGTTATACAAACAAAACCAACGTCTATTTAAATGAAGAAAAGCACTGTCAAATTTCACCATGATCAATACTTGCCACAACCAACCAAATCTGTAAGCTTCACATCTTAGTTCAAATAATGCCCCATGGGCCTGAATACCTATCCTGGTATTCAATGCTTTTCAAAGATACATTAACATTTCATCTCTTTTCTTGATTGAAGTCAATTGAAATTTTAACAAATCTGACCCATGTAATCTTGATAACAGGTCAGTCATTTTCAGGAAACTACCAGCCAAAATAGCATCATTAAGCAGAAGAAGTTGCTTGACGTTTTCTTAGCATGTATAAATATACAAATATTTGTCACCTCTCCCTTGGTAGTTTAAGTGTATATGTACGGTAGGATATTTCATATTGATATACAAATATGTTCATAATTTACACATTGTGCATGTGTACACAATATATTTGATATCATGATAACAATGTACATCTGTGTACACAATACTTTTATATCATGATTACAATGTACATCTGTGTACACAATACTTTTATATCATGATTACAATGCACATCTGTGTACACAATACTTTTATATCATGATTACAATGTACATCTGTGTACACAATACTTTTATATCATGATTACAATGTACATCTGTGTACACAATACTTTTATATCATGATTACAATGTACATCTGTGTACACAATACTTTTATATCATGATTACAATGTACATCTGTGTACACAATACTTTTGGTACATCTGTGTGAACCTATCTCTGTTTTGAATACTTTCTTGATCATAATTGCTATGACACTTTTTAAAATTTTTTAACCATTTTTGACAATAAAAATCTGTGGAAGAGAGTAAGTTTTAATGTAACTATTGATTAAATTGAAAGATAATCAATGATAATCATATTATAAAAAGTAATCATTTTTCAACCTATATGTATGTGTGTGGAATGATTTAAGATGACATATCCAGCAAGTTATAAAGTAAGATACCATATTCGTAGTAAAAGAATTATTATTGTCCAATCTCTCTACCCTGTATATACAGCTACTTCAGATAACTGTTGTAGGGACAAGGATTCTGTGTATTGAATAGTATAACAATCCTGTTATATCTAGCTACTTCAGATAACTGTTGTAGGGACAAGGATTCTATGTATTGAATAGTATAACAATCCTGTTATATCTAGCTACTTCAGATAACTGTTGTAGGGACAAGGATTCTATGTATTGAATAGTATAACAATCCTGTTATATCTAGCTACTTCAGATAACTGTTGTAGGGAGAAGGATTTTATGTACTGAATATGTGCAACCAAACAAAAATATCTGTACCAATTACTGGCTATAATAGAGAGATTTCTTCATTTTCTATTTCAAACCAAGTCAGGCACAGCAAGAAACCATAGAGTGATTTCATTATTCATCATTGAATAATCTGTAATACCTGTAGATTTTCATCACTTTGATTTTTCTCTTATTTTCTCTTCTTTCCAATAGGTCTCAAAGATGGCCATCTGTCAGCTATCTTGATATTCCAATCTATCCCAAAGTGGACTATGCACAACTAGGGACCAAAGTGTTAATTTACATCATATATTGTAGAACGATCCATCCCATGCTTTCCAAGAATTAGCCTTAACAATAGCTGTTTACTGACTGACTGACCACTGATGAAGTGAGAAAGAAAAGGTACCAACCTTATTTGAATGCCTTTTATGGCCCAAGACTGAACCATCAGGCATAAAACTCTATGGCCCGATATTGCACATCACAATGTCAAACTTCAGCATTTTTTCCCCACTCAATTTAGAGGTAAATGTGACACCTGACCCTTTCTCCTTAACCACTGATTATAAGAATCTGATCAAATATACATAGCTGGATGTTATGATATATGATGAAAGTGATGTCTGACAAAAATGTCTATCAATGTTTAAAGTTTGTTTGGTTGGTTACAGGTTTTCCGTCTAAGTGTTATCTCAATGACAAACATCAGTGTTCTTGCAACGTTACACAAGCATTTGTAACTTCTAATAACATCTAAGTACAGGTATATATGGGTAAATAGGAAGAAGATATCATATACAAAGCTTGCTTATGATGGATGTCGCACGACATGCATGAATGAATACACAAAACTAATCTCTTCCCTATATCTAGTAATGGCATATCTAAGTCTTTCCATCCCAGGCGAGATAAAATTACTCCCTCATAGTTTTCTGATTCTGATAACTTATATGAATTTGACAACAAGTTTGTATCATACATGACATTTTCAGAGGGACAAGGAATCAAGGTTGTATTGATGTAAATAGCAGAGTATTTTCTGAGAAATAATACTGAGAAGTCTTAATCTAAACATTAATTTCATGTATTCCATCAGTCCCAAATGACATCTGTTTATCAAAGAGCAACTTACACAAGTATTATTAGAGAAAGATTACACTAGTACTTTTTTGAGAAATACGATTAGCATGACTGTAAGACCTAGTAATGGTAGGATCAAACAGTCAATTATCATTCAAAGCATTCACCTACATAATTTCAGTTCCCAACCCCCACCAGGCTTCTTGTGTTTTAGTTTTTCAAAATCAATGCTTGAAGGTTTGAACATCATATTTCATAACAACTTTACATATTTCTTCAATAAAACATAATGAGATTTTGAAAATTTACTTGAAGTCATTTAGAAAAATAGATGTGTCAACTCTTGTTTCTATTCTTGGTGAAGATGAACTGACTGCGTCTGTATGTAAGATGGCCCGCGACAAATTGGACAGGATTGGTTATCTTTATAAAGCCAAGTAAGGATACAGTTATGGTGGAAACAATGACCACAGGGAAGCCCACACAGTACTGCATCTGCCACATATTCTTCAATACAGATGCCACATTGAATTTCTACCAGCATCCCTTCAGGAGCCCCACACAGCATCCCATTTAGCTTCATGTCATCATCACAGATAGGCTTTGGATTTGAGTTTACTACTAGCTCTGAGTTAGCATCTTTAGCATTATCAGACCTTTGCATGGATTTCTCATCACTTGTCTCCATATCATCTTCTTTCTTATTAATCTGCATATCAGACTTTGATTGTGGTATCTCCTCCCTGCCATCTACAGAACAAGTACTGTTACTCTGTTTTTCATTTTGGTTAACTTGACAATCTGTTGAGATGACTTTATTTTCACTGATGTCTGAATCACCGTGGGCTGACATCCTCCGAGAACTTCCATTCCTATAGCTGATAATAGGAAGTGGTCTGTGATTCCAAACAGGAAGATTGCGGATGTATTCCATCGAAAAGGTAGATGAAGCTTCATCATCAGCACCATTTTCATAATGAACAAATCTGCTTCTCTCAGATGCCAACAGACGTGTAGTTGGAAAAAACAAATGTTGCAATGTTTGAAATTCAGAAAAGTTCCACTCATTTGGATTAAGTTGCTCAGTTTCGTGATCTTTGAATCTGTAAGCCAAAAATCCCACAATGGAAGCATACATCACAAATGAAAACCCGCCAAAATATTTATGAGCGGTGTAAAAACAATAAGCTTGTCTTATGTATGAACCAAGTTCTGAAAGTCCAAGAATCCGTATGCATTTCAATCCATATTCTATCATAAATGAGATTGTATGGAGTTGGAAAACTGTCAACAATATTATCCAAGTCAACAAAAGAACAATGTTATTTTTTAAGATACAACAAATAAACTTAAAAAATCTTTTTAACACTGATCCTTGCACAAGAAATGGTTCAAAAAGACTTGTCAAATTACAAAGTGCTAAACTCAAAACAAAAATATCATTCAAACTTGGGTATAGAGTCTTCAAAAAAAAATCCATGGATTTGTATGTTTTGTTTTCTATTGGTTTATTACCATATACAGCCACTTTTTCTACTGTAACAATGATGTATTTAGGTGGAATACCCCAGTCAAACTCTTTCAATATGTCTTTCTTAAGCAGGGATTTATTGTTCATAAGACCAAACTTCACTCTCCCAGGAAATTTGATGCTTACCGCTGAGAAAAACAGCGGTGGACTCATGATATCGGAAATCATAACCATCCGAATCTCAGCAGTTGAATCAGTGTCATTAAATTTTAACCATTCACTCTTTAGTTCTTCATATGAGCGGATCTGAAAGACCTTTTTAGACATTGTCTCTTTTATCCAATTGAATATATTCTGTTGACGATACTGGCCATCATAACTGTACAACTTAACAACTGCTTTCGTTTTGAATTCTTGAGGAAGACCAAGAATGAGGTGAGAATCATGCCACTTTTTCTTGGAGCAAAATCTGAAATTATTGAAAAGAATTATAGTAAAGGGAAATTTAAAAAGAACATTTATGCAATCCCAATACCTGGGTATACAAAAATTCACAACAGGTAGTAATTTACACATAAATTTATAATGAGAAATGAAACAAAATCTTTATAAAGCAATCAGCAGGCCCTGGTTGTTCAAAGGCAGGTAAGAGATAACCAATGGATAGTAAAAAATATAATTATGAACAAGAGATCCCAGAGGGATCTTGGCGCCCACCATTTGAGGATCTGTTTTCAGTTCTTGAAGATTTGTTTATTTTTTTTTGTTTGTTACAGGTGTTGTAAATGTTCATGAACTGGTCTTCATTGAATGCACTCAATGATGGCACAAGATATTTTTATTAAGCACCTATTAGCAAATATCATTTGAAAAAGATCCCAAAGTATTATTAGATAGCAGTCAGTTACAGGTGGATAATGGACAATATGCTTGTGCTGTATTACTGTCGACATCCAAGATGGCTGCCTGTGGGCCACCTTGATTTCAAATCAGTCCAAAAAAGGTACAATGCACAACTAGGGACCAAGGGAAACCAATATCTATGAAATATCAGAAGGATCCAACCAGTACTTCCTCAAATATAGCAGTAACAAGATTTTACTCTCAAAATCCAAGATGGCTACCTGTCAGCCATCTTGATTTCGGATCAGTCCAAAAAGGTATAATGCACAACTTGGAACCAAAGGGAACCTGCATATGAAATTTGAGAAAGATCCATCCAGTTCTTTCCAGAAATAGCAGTAACAAACTCTTACAATCAAACTCCAAGATGGCCACCTGTCTGCCATCTTGAATGCGAATCAGTTCAAGAAAGGTACAATGCACAACTAGGGACCAAGGGGAAACGGCGTATAAAATTTGAGAAAGATCCATCCAGTACTTTTCCAGAAATAGCGGTAACAAACTTTTACTTCCAAAATACAAGATGGCCACCTGTCGCCCATCTTGAATGCAAATCAGTTCAAAAAAGGTACAATGCACAACTAGGGGCCAAGGGGAACCTGCATATGAAATTTGAGAAAGATCCATCCAGTACTTTTCCAGAAATAGCGGTAACAAGAATTGTTTACGGACGGACGACGGACCACGGATTCAGGGTGATTTGAATAACCCACCATCTATTAGATGGTGGGCTAATAAATAAAAAAACTGGGGGCACTATTTATGGCTTCAAAGCTGTAGATTTGTTGAAACAGGTCTGATTAATCTACTTTATATGTTAAATCTGCTTTCAACATTCTTGTATTTTCAATGGCAACAATTTGAATTTTTCACTAATCACTTGCTACCAAATTGGGTGAAAACCAAACAAAAGTGCAACTTTGTACTTGTAGCCAGTGTAGTGGGCAAACCAAAAGAACGTTGGAATACTTTACCATACCATGACACGGATGAACTGTTTTTTACTCATATTTACTTTTCATCATCAACATTTATTGACACTGCCATCCCAATGACGGCTAGCCTAGCTGGTCACAACACATTGATGATACCTTTAGAACTTCCAATTTACATTTGAAAACCGAACATTTCAATTACTTTATAAACAGCATTGTTGTACCACTTTTGTATCTCATATAATCTATAGCAAACATTACAACAAGTTTAATTTCTATTTCTTATCTTAAATTGTTCCATACAAAGTGTTGAAATGGAGAACTTCTACAAGAGTATTAGCTTGATACCTGTATAAAGTTTTGATTACCGGGTAGTTACCTTGAATGGTTTAAGAGAACTAGTCTGAAAAACCTGAACTTTGTGATTTGGCCTTTTTCCATTGTAACAGAGAAAATATTTAAATAGAGAACTTCACCATGGAAAAAAATACTACTAGCTTAATAAGAGTAAAAAGTTTTGAGCAATTATCTTGAATAATTTCAGAGCACTGGTCCAGGAAAAGTGAAATTTGTGTTGAGGGTTATCCGTTTCCATGGTAACAGAAACAATTTTTTAACTAGGGCACCAACCTAATATTTTTTTAAAGTTTTGTGGAGTTGAGTGGAATGGTTTGGAATTGTAGTTCCAATAGGAAAGTTAACACCAATTTTTAAAGGCTTGACTAGGGCACTAACCTAATTATTATGCTGTAAATAAATACAGCAAGATTTGTGAAGTTGAGTTGAAAGGTTTTTGAAGTTACCTGGTATAGCCTGGAAAAGCCTTGGACAGATGGACACATGCATGGACAGACAGAGCCCAAATTAATATCCCCTGCAAATGTGTTTCACCGGGGATAATAAGACAATTTAAAGGAATGGTTTGCAAAGTAGCTTAGCAGTTTAAACACTAACAACCCACGAATTATGACCAGCAAGTGACTGGCCTCTTCTGTGATGGGAATTGACCAGAATGTGTATTTCAGTCTATTTTATTCTTAACAGAAGATAAAACTTACCTTTTATCTAAACGACAGTCAAACATTCCTACATTGACTCCAAATCTCGACATCTTTTTTCGAAATTCTAGCCAGTTTGTATCAGAGATAGCACTGATTTGGCGACCTTTGTTGAGAACTTCCACCAGCCACACACTGTCTTTTGAGTCTTCTACTTGTTCCAAGAAATGGGCTTCCCCTGTGAAGTTGGTCACACTGGTATTTTCCTCTAGGACTGCCTCTGAGTTTGTTTCTTCCATGACAGTACCTGAGAAACATATAAACATCATACAGTTATAAAACTCCCTTAAATTCAAAGCAAGTATGCATCTGCTTCACAGCATTTTTTTCTGCAGGATTGAGCAAAACAAGACAGAAATAAAACAATAAATTATGATTAACTTTTCAAAATGATGATCAACATTTCACAATTTGAGATCTTTTCACACTCTCTTCCCAAATTCGAAGTCATGGGCTTCATTCCCAAAGCAGTGAAAAAAGTCCGGGTTTTTAAACATCCATCATGACGATTCTTATGACACTTGAGAATGCACTCAACACTCAAAATTCTCTGAAATTTGCATCTGAATCTTAATGCATGTACAATCAGACTGCTATCTGATGGTAATATTAAAGAAGTTAGAAACATTTACTGAAAAAAAAATCAAAATATTCCTAGAAGCATTATTTTCCCAAATAAGCTGCAGTAAATTTTACTGCCTCTCCAGAAGGAAACAGGGACCCTTTCCTTCATGGACTATAGGAGTTTCTGATTCTACAGTATTGAGGAGAATTTTGAAATATAAGCAAATTTGATTCAATCCTTTGTGATCTGCTTTCAGGACCATGGAGCAGAATCCATTATTCATATTATGAACTGCGATCTGATCAATATAATTCCTAACAAAATTGGGAAAACTTAATTATTTCTCTATGAAAATGACAAAAATATACCCAAAAGTGTTATTTTCACTATATATAAACCATGGTAAAATTTATCCCCTTCCTAGCAAGAAAATGGGGTCACAGGGCCATACATAAAGTTTCTATCCATGAAGAGTTTTTGATTCTCTATTATCTCAGTTTGGATTAAAGGATTTTTTCAATATAAGCAATTTTCTCCCCTCCAGCCCTACCCTTTTGGCCCCAGTGGCAAGATCCGCATCATTTTTCATTGTATTACATTAAAATTGAACCTACTCCCTAAAGGAAAACCAGGAACCTGGAGGTTATGAAATTTACAATTTTGACAAAACATCTTCTGCCCTTTGATTTCTATCCACAGCATGTGTTTTTGATTTTACATGATCTAGATCTGGAGAAGATTTCTATTATCTCATAATAGGCAAACTTTACCCATTCTTCAGGCCCCTGCAGAGTTGGAATTATACAATTTAAAATAATTTTAATTCGTTAGTGCTTTAACCTTGAAACTTTTTCGCAAACATTGATTGAAATTAATGAAGCAGTTTTCCAGAAATGGGAACAAAGTAACAGACAATGGATAACGAGCGATCAGAAAAAGACCATTATGAGATTTGATATGTCAACAAAATCTAATTCACACTCAAATTTGATAAAATGAGTAAAGCACAAACCAAAGAAATATTCATGTGGAGAGCCTTGAAAAATTACAAATAGTATAAGACTTAAGCCAGGTAATACTGAACATTTTCGTCAGGTTGGAAAGTAAGTATTATGTAAAGATTCTTTATACACAACCAGGAATTTTAATATGTGACGTTTCGGTGACCAGTACGATCCGTACGCTGTCACCTTCCTCAGACAAATGACCAGTAAAGCATGTACACAAGGTGTGATATGTGTTTTAATGCTTTACTGGTCATTTGTCTGAGGAAGGTGACAGCGTACGGATCGTACTGGTCACCGAAACGTCACATATTAAAATTCCTGGTTGTGTATAAAGAATCTTTACATAATACTTAAGCCAGGTGTTCTAGAAAGGTGTCTCTTCCTTAGCTGATGCCAACCACCATGAACATCTTGCTTAATCCATGTAAGTGAAGTCACATTCTCAAATGAGAACAAGGATATTAATGACAATGGCACCACTAGGCTTAATTTACCAGTATGCTGACAAAAGCTTCTCTTACACTTAGTCAGAATATTGGATTTTCTCTACAATATACAGAGGAAAGTGTGTAACATAACAAGATGAAGCATGTTTTAATCTTAAATAGGAATATGGTTGCCTCTATGTTAGTATAGAGGACCAATAAGCCTGTAGTAATAGGTTTGATCCTTAGTGGAAGCACATTACTCATATGCTGACCATTAAAGCCATGAAAGCAAGAAGAAACAGAGGAGCTTGATTGGAATAGATAATCTGGGTTGATGTGGTGTTTGGGGCAACATTAGAATGGGGAAGTAGCTTTGAAGGTTTTAAACCTGGTCCGGATTGACCTTTTAGTTTGTGGCAACAGGCCAGGACAATGTTTGAAAAGTACAAGAAATGGTACAATGTATGTGTCTTTGCTGACTGAAGCAAAGACTTTCATTTCAGAACATTGTTGATTGGTTATGCAGCTGCCTAACATTAAGAGAACACTGAATTGGCGGGTGGTGACTTCCAAGACAAGCAATTACAATCAGTAATCTAGGTAGGTAATCAGCACAAATATAAATCTATTGCAATATATTCCGAATCTACTGCAAATAAAACAATACTTATGTACTGTGTGATTTGTATGGATGGTTTTTCCTTTGTTTTCTTATCATAAATTGCACATCATACAAGAGGCATGCCCATTTTATGTCCAGAGAAAAGTAAAAATTGAGATGTTTTGTCGATGGTAAGTATATTTTCACTAATTCAAACTGGCATACACATACTTACATCAAAAATGTATTATATGTTCCAGCTTACAATAAATAAAAAATCAGAAAAAAACATGGTTTTAAAATTATGATAATCCTCAGCTCTACAAACTAAGCTATACAAGATAACACAGAATGTAACATTATCCCGTGCCCCAATGTTTAAAAGACACACAAATCATATACATATATTTCTGATTTGACTCATCTATTTCCATGAAAATAGAAAAAGCATTTAAAAGGAGAACTTCCCCATAGCAACATAGCAAAAAGCACTATTATAGTACTAGCTTAATGACTGTAAAAAGTTTTGAGTAATTATCTTGAATGGTTTTAAATGAACCACATTTCTTGGCAAAATTCGTTTTTACAACACAAGCAATTCAAATCAAATTAATTTTTCATCTGTCAGTCTACAGTTTGCTAGTTCATTGAAATCAGAAATGGGTTATCAAAAGTGATTATTCAAAAATCACTTTTCCAATAAAAGACTTGCATGTTTGGACTTTCGTAGTCAAAAAACTGCAAGAATGCATGGCTTATTATTCCTGATTGATTTGAATTCACTTGACAGACAACAAAACATTGGCATCCAAGGATAGATTGATTATTTCATCATATCTGGGAGGATGTAAAAATGTGGATTAAGAAAAAATACAAATTTGCCAACGAAAAATTTACTTAGAATATGTTATGGTGAATGATTTTCATAATTATTTCTTATTCTTTCTAAAAACATGACATGTTACATGTATGGCAACCAAAATTATCAGGGTGCATGGTCATGTAGTTCAATAGGGCCGATATGCTTAAAGATGGACATTCAAATATGACACGAGTATGAAGATCTTCAACATTCAATCCTTAAACTGTGATCAGTTTTACCTACACTACATTAAGTTTACAGCTTATAATCCTCCCATTTTCATGATAGGACCATTGTTTTTTCACATTGTCGTAATAGTGAAACTGACCTGTGGACTCTACAAGGTCGGATAGCTCCCTTTTTTCCACTGCACCCTCATAACTAATTCCCCTATGCTCGAGCAGAGCCTTCAACTGAAGTACTGACATCGCCATTGGATCCAAAAGTCGACGGGATATGTTACCAGACTCTATCCAGGTCACAGTCTCGAGGATACGAGCCAGAAAGAACAAAACCATCACATAAATGATTACAAGCACGAGCTTTAGCCACATTGCTGTTGTTTTGGTTGAAGGCTAAATGAAATGTCTTGAGCACTGTTTGAACAATGAAAAAATGTGCTACTACGGTAAGCCGTGTTCTTTACAATGCATGCGTCGTGTTGTGAACTCCATTAGAAAAAACTATCTGGTCTTGCCGGTTGCATCTGACGTGTCAACATGAATGGGCGCGCCAACTGTCAAACATAAAATGTCCGAAAGTGCACATTTGAAATCAAACTGCGCGATACAACCGATAGTTTCCGCCAGAAATAACACATTTAACACACATTTTACTGATGTAGACCCATGTCCTTTCCTAATAATGACATTCTGATGTAATTTCCCTCCGGACCGTCAACTTTGGTTCTAAATATGGCGACTGTCAAAACAGATCACGTGATTCCATTCCTGCACGATTTTAAACTCGATCGACGGAAAAATATTCCGGAATTTCAAATTGGATAAATGAAAGTATAGTAAACCAAGTTGTCATTTATTTGTGGGTCAATGTTGATCCAGTACTTATCCAAATATTATTAATTAAATGATACAATATATATGAATTACTTAATTAGAATATACTGAAGTAGATATCTGCGGATTTACTAAATTAGATAGATATATTTTCATTATCTCTAAATTATGAATCTTATAAATTAAAAAATAAATGCTTTTCTAATTAAACAAATTTATTCAGTTCGGTACTTTTTAGTATGGATCAAAATACAGATAAGCATTATTACGCCTATTAAAAGGGCGGTAAATGATTGGAACTCTCTATCAGAAGATATAGTACAGGCGCCAACTTTTAACTCATTTGAAAACAGGCTTGATAAATATTGGAAAAGTGTGTATAGAACATATAATATCTTTATTCCAACCAGAAGTGACAATGAATTGGGTCAAGGTTTCGGATCTGAACATAGAGGCATAAGGCCTACGTTCAGTAACTACTAAGCTATACTAAGCTAAGCTATAACGTAACTTAGTAATGATCACGTGTATTCTGTCAAAGACGTATATGTCTCTGATTATGTAAATTAGATATTTTAAAGAAAAAACTGAATTGCATTATTCAATTAATTTAATATATCGTTTCGTAAATTACGTTTTGGTCAAATTATTGACGTATATCATTCAGTTGTATACGTCTCTGGTCAACTACTGGATCAACTTTGCTCTGTCAATAAACAGAATCTTGGCAACAAACTGGTATACTGAAACAATCTAGGTGTTGTCGAAGAGTCCACCGGTCTAATGAAATCTGCTGTTTTGTTTGTCCGACAGACGACAGAGCCTGTGATTGGAGACCAAGAAATTGAAATACGGCATACCATGAGAATCACAGTCTGACGCCCATCAACATTAGTGGCGGCAGTGTTACTGTTTGGGGTTGCTTTTAAAGGGATGTCCATCCATAAGTACCGTGATCAGATCCTTTAGTTCTTACACATCGGGATGTCCATCCATAAGTACCGTGATCAGATCCTTTAGTGATCTCCTTTAGTTCCATCCATAACACATCGGGATGTCCACATAAGTACCGTGATCAGATCCTTTACTTACACATCGGGATGTCCATCCATAAGTACCGTGATCAGATCCTTTAGTTCTTACACATCGGGATGTCCATCCATAAGTACCGTGATCAGATCCTTTAGTTCTTACACATCGGGATGTCCATCCATAAGTACCGTGATCAGATCCTTTAGTTCTTACACATCGGGATGTCCATCCATAAGTACCGTGATCAGATCCTTTAGTTCTTACACATCGGGATGTCCATCCATAAGTACCGTGATCAGATCCTTTAGTTCTTACACATCGGGATGTCCATCCATAAGTACCGTGATCAGATCCTTTAGTTCTTACACATCGGGATGTCCATGCATAAGTACCGTGATCAGATCCTTTAGTTCTTACACATCGGGATGTCCATCCATAAGTACCGTGATCAGATCCTTTAGTTCTTACACATCGGGATGTCCATCCATAAGTACCGTGATCAGATCCTTTAGTTCTTACACATCGGGATGTCCATCCATAAGTACCGTGATCAGATCCTTTAGTTCTTACACATCGGGATGTCCATCCATAAGTACCGTGATCAGATCCTTTAGTTCTTACACATCGGGATGTCCATCCGTGATCAGATCCTTTAGTTCTTACACATCGGGATGTCCATCCATAAGTACCGTGATCAGATCCTTTAGTTCTTACACATCGGGATGTCCATCCATAAGTACCGTGATCAGATCCTTTAACTTTAGTTCTTACACATCGGGATGTCCATCCATAAGTACCGTGATCAGATCCTTTAGTTCTTACACATCGGGATGTCCATCCATAAGTACCGTGATCAGATCCTTTAGTTCTTACACATCGGGATGTCCATCCATAAGTACCGTGATCAGATCCTTTAGTTCTTACACATCGGGATGTCCATCCATAAGTACCGTGATCAGATCCTTTAGTTCTTACACATCGGGATGTCCATCCATAAGTACCGTGATCAGATCCTTTAGTTCTTACACATCGGGATGTCCATCCATAAGTACCGTGATCAGATCCTTTAGTTCTTACACATCGGGATGTCCATCCATAAGTACCGTGATCAGATCCTTTAGTTCTTACACATCGGGATGTCCATCCATAAGTACCGTGATCAGATCCTTTAGTTCTTACACATCGGGATGTCCATCCATAAGTACCGTGATCAGATCCTTTAGTTCTTACACATCCTTTAGTTCAGATTACACACATCGGGATGTCCATCCATAAGTACCGTGATCAGATCCTTTAGTTCTTACACATCGGGATGTCCATCCATAAGTACCGTGATCAGATCCTTTAACTTTAGTTCTTACACATCGGGATGTCCATCCATAAGTACCGTGATCAGATCCTTTAGTTCTTACACATCGGGATGTCCATCCATAAGTACCGTGATCAGATCCTTTAGTTCTTACACGTCCATCCATTGGCAGATCGACCAATGCTAATGGTTGACAGATTCTTCCATGACCCGCAATGTCACCACAAATGAACCTAATTGAACACGTCTGGGACAAAAAGTCAATCACTGTGGGACTCAAAATGCCAAATAATTGGAGAATTACATTGATTCGGGAGTGGCAGAGGTTTCCACGGAACAAGCTTCGCCTTCTGGTAAACGAACTCAATGATTAGTTGAGTCGAGTAACATGTTTGGGTGATTTGATGACGTATCTCTTCATGAGAGAAGTTAAAGTCAAACTCTTTTTAAAGTTATATAGTACTTCCGGTTCTGTAAATGTCTTTTCCTATCAACTGCGTAATGTTTGATATCTAAAAACATTCATTTTTTACCTGTTTTGTTGTCATTCAATAATGTTTTTAAACACAGCGAACAAATTTAACTAACTTATGGCAAAGTGATTATATGAAACAGGAATAAAGTGGTCAGCGTGGTACATCAATATTTATAGTTAATCATCCTATCCATATACCACATTAACATGTGGATGTGACAACAGTCTTCGATACAAACGGTATCTCTTTCTCTCAATTTGTTTTAAATGATTCACGGAAATCATCTTTAAATGAAAGGTGCCACTCATTTGTGTACATTTTGATATCGCCACGGTATTCGTGTTATTGTCAACCCTATCTTCGATTTGATTACGGATGTCACCAACCTATACCTCGATAGATTTTGTCATGTGTTTACATTCTGAGGAATTCCACTCTTAGATAAACTTGATTTATTTTACAATTGCTAAAGAAGCTATCACCTGATATCAATTACTCTTGTTGCTTCTAATGTAATAACGTCACGGTAAAACCGTACATTGACTGGATCACGATAGATGGCGTAAGAAACCCACCAAAACCAGTTAAATCCTGTGTCATAACTACAAAAGCGTATATAACACAAAAACTTATCTTAACTATGAGAAATTACCATGAAATATGACGATTGCTGTGCCAACACATGTAAAAATATCCAGGCTTCAGAAATTTCCTGATATTTGTACTGTCATGCTTTTGTTGTATTGAATTTTAATACTTGTCGATTCAATTACTTGAAGCACTTTTGTCACTAGGCAAAGATGAAAGGGTTACAATGTCTCGGATCATATCAATATATCGTCGTCTGTAAGGCACCTCCTTCTGTGGAGAAGCTCTCTGTCAGGATATTTTACATGATTAAGAGTTTCCGATGTTTCAATCACTTCCCCAGATGAAATGAAAGGCCATGTTCGACATCAGACAGTTAATAATCACTTGTTTATTGAATGTCTGCCTAAAAACCGCGCTCGCTCGACCTGAACTTGGTAAAACATTGTAGATAACGTAATTTGTCGTTATCAAGGACTTATCTCCCTTGGACCGTTTTTCTTCCCTTAACTTCACCCTGTCGACATTAACTGATATCTTTCAATCTACTTTCGATTCATACCTTATTTTACCACATCAACAAAGTGACGTTTGAAATGGAATCTCAGAGAAAAAATATGGTGAGTGAATAAATTAGACCATTGATAACGATTTGGCATCTGCCACAGTCAGTCAAGAAGAAAGTTCACTTTTCGTCATTCCCATGTTTGAAAAAAAATATATATCGAAGACATTTATTTAACAGGCCATAGGTCACACTTCAGGATTTGTGAGGACCATCTGGCAAAATTTAAGACTTCATGTGTGACCTTGTGGACAAGACGAAAAGACCAATTTGATCAAACGAATCTCAAGGACGTACAACAGTATATTGTAATGGTTTTGAAGTTGAATATCGCTCCTTTGTAATTTTCAAAGGGAGCGGCGTATCAGCCTGCGCCTAGTCAGATTTTTCCTCCTGGATCAATCAAATACCTTCTCTTGTGCCTTCAATTTTAAAGTGACATGTTCCAGGGATGCCCCTGGAGTATCGAGCATGCTCCCTTCTAGATTTTGACTTTTCTTTCGATCACTTTGGATTTTACTTAGTCACCTCACAGGCTTCACTAGTTAGGCCCTTAGTATCACTGACGAGTCCTAGGAGGACGAAACAGCTATATGATGTAGTATCACTGACGAGTCCTAGGAGGACGAAACAGCTATATGATGTAGTATCACTGACGAGTCCTAGGAGGACGAAACAGCTATATGATGTAGTATCACTGACGAGTCCTAGAAGAACGAAACAGCTGTATGATGTACTATCACTGACGAGTCTTTGAATGACGAAACAGCTGTATGATCTAATATCACTGACGAGTCTTTGAATGACGAAACAGCTGTATGATGTAACATCACTGACGAGTCCTAGAAGGACGAAACAGCTGTATGATCTAGTATCACTGACGAGTCTTTGAATGACATAACAGCTGTATGATA